ACAGAATATGATTTTCAGCCTTTACTACATGGAATGAATTATTTGAAATTAATGTTTTGGTGATCTTCACCCTGCATTACATAAAAAGGGAACCTCACTAGACATACATGTCTAACCCTCATTTTGTGTTTTCAAAAATATGTGTGCAGGTAATGATAATAAGGGAAAGAGCATTATGTGAGTTACTTTCCTATGTGTTTAGCTGTGTGTAGATCTTGATTACCTATGTTTTGTAGCATAGATGTTAGGATACAAGAGCATGTACTTTTTGAATTTTTAGAGTTATGTATTTCACGTTATAGACTCTTGTATTATAGACCTTTGTGGGGAAAACATGTATTCTATGTATGAAATATGTGTTATATGCAATGTGTGGATTTGGGGGTTGTTACAGAAGATGGTATCAGAGCTTGAGTTTAAGGGATTTAGGTATTCACATGCATGATGCCTACACTTAAATTGTTTTATTGCATATTAGGGTCCCAGACATAGTTAGCACCTTTGGAATAAATATGATAAGTTAAGAGGTCAGTGTGTAAGGTATTTTCGGATTATATCTGGCCAATGTAATTTTGAATCTACAGGTACATAACTGAACTTGAATACTTTATTATATTTTTGGAATGTGAAAATATGTTTATTAACTTTGAATCTACAAGTACTTTTCCCGTGAACTCATTACATGCTAAAGTGTTATTTGACTACGGTGCAAACTTCTCATTTGTATCCCCATCATTTGCCTTATATGCCCCTATGAATTATGTGCCCCTTGACAAAAAGTTAGTAGTTGATACTGCTAACGGTCAAGTATCTGTGAATTATGTGTTTAAAAGCTGCACTATCATGATTGAGGGTTGCAAGCTACCCATCAGATTGTTTCCCATGCCTATAAAATATTTCGATGTAGTAGTGGGAATGGATTGGTTGGCCGAGAATCAGGCTAGCATTGTTTGTAATAAGAAGATGAATAGAATAATATTGTTAGACAGAGGGACAATGGTTATTTATGGTGATCATCAGAATCATCACCCCARTYTGTTATCAGTTATGAAAGCCAGAAAATGTATCCAAAAGAAATGCCAGTCTGTTATCAGTTATGAAAGCCAGAAAATGTATCCAAAAGAAATGCCAAAGATTTTTAACCTACATAATTTATGCCAAGAAAGAAAAGAGTAAGCAAGAGCTAATTCCGGTTGTCAGTGATTATCCTGAAATCTTTCTAGAAGACTCGTCAGGATTACCTCCAGATAGATTTATAGAATTTGGGATTGATTTAATACCTGGAGCAGCACCTGTAGCAAAAGCACCGTACAGATTAGCTCCATCAGAATTAAAAGAACTGGTTACACAATTGAAGGATTTGTCGGACAAGGGATTTATCAGGCCGAGTACTTCACCATGGGGAGCTCCAGTTTTGTTTGTGAAAAATAAAGATGGCACTATGCGTATGTGTATTGATTATCGAGAGTTAAATAAACCAATCATAAAGAACAAATATCCATTGCCCAGGATCAATGACTTGTTTGATCAATTGGTAGGAGCCAGTTACTTCTCAAAGATTGACTTACGATCAGAATACCACCAGTTGAAAGTTAAAGAAGATGATATAGCAAAAACAACATTCCGAACCAGGCCGGGGTAAAGGTAGATCCAACAAAGATTGAGGCTGTTGCAAAATGGGAGGCACAAAAAAAAAACACCATCTGAAATCCGAAGCTTTTTGGGATTAGCAGGCTATTACCGCAAATTTATTCAATATTTTTCCAAAATAGCCGTACCTTTGACCAAGTTAACCCGAAAGAATGTCAAATTTCAGTGAAAAGAAGAACAACAAAAAGCCTTTCAATTATTAAAAGACCATCTTTGTAGTGCCCCAATTCTATCTCTACCTGATGGAACTGAAGACTTTGTGGTATATAGTGATGCGTCAAAATTAGGTTTGGATTGCGTCTTGATGCAAAGAGGAAAGTGTAACGCCCCAAATACCACATTTGCATAGAACACATATTTCATTATATAGAAACATGGATTACATCAAAAGGTCCCACTAGTACAAGGATTACTATATGTACAAAATTGACATATAAAAATTTCCAAAACAAATCCTGTACTACTACATGTAATATAACATGCATCTTCAAAAGCAGGCAA